CAATTTAGAATAAAATCCGCATTTTAAGTCGACATTTTCGTATTTTGGCCCAGTCTGGGTGCGTAGATGCCCGGAACTGCTCCGAATAGACCCCTCGATGGTGAATCTACCGGTCTCGATCCCAAGGAACATGTTAGTTGCAACTCTCGAGGCCGGCACTTCCACTTTAGCCGACCCGGTTCGCCGAAAATATGCCTATTTTACGGCCGCTCGATGGGCCTCGAAACAAAGAATACGGCTTTTCGGGCACTTCTGGTGCCAAAAACCTATGGCTAGATGGCATCACGGACAGCCCCGTCGACGGAACCAACCTCCTAGAGCCCACGGTCGAAGCCTCTCGACTCAAAACTGCCGCCGTAGGGCCGGTTCCGTGCCTCGAGAACCGCCTCGTACTCGATTCGGGGCCCCGCCGACCCGTAGGTGGTCGAGATTCCTGTGTTATTTGGTGCGGCTAGTCGCCCACGCCCCCGGGGGGCTTCGATCCGCCGAGAGAACGAGGAGAGACGACTCGAAACGACCGACGTGGCATCGGTTCGGAGCCCGGAGATACGGCCCGTTCGCGAATACGGGCCCTGCCGGTCCGTAGACGGTCGGGGTTCCCGCGTCTTTTTGTGCGGCGAGTCGCCCACGCCCCCGGGGGGCTCCGATCCGTCGAAAGAACGAGAAGAGACGACTCAAAACGACCGACGTGGCATCGGTTCGGAGCCCGGAGATACCGCCCGTTCGCGAGTACGGGCCCCGCCGGTCCGTAGACGGTCGGGGTTCCTGCGTCTTTTTGTGCGGCGAGTCGCCCCTGCCCCCCGGGGGCTCCGACCCGTCGAAAGAACGAGAAGAGACGACTCAAAACGACCGACGTGGCATCGGTCCGGAGCCCGGACCGCGCGAACCGCACCAGCCTAACCGAAAATCGGTCGCTAGCCCGGCTGGGCTCCGGCCGGCGGGCCTGCGGCCCGCCGGCCGGAGATTTTGGCCCGGTTGGCCTGCCGGCCGGTGGGCCGCCGGGGAACCGAGGAGCTGGCGGGTCTGCCGGCGCAAAACCCGGCTGGCTGGCTGGCCGCAAACCCCCCGGCTGGCGGGGCACGGTTCTCTACTGGCATCGATCGGTGCCCGCCCCGCCACGACGACGTTGTCGCTCGATAACGCGCGGGGGCCGCGTCCGGGCCGAACGCGCGCGCCATAAACGCTGGGCACCGCTGCCCGAACGCTTCGATCGATCGACCGCCGGGCCGCGGTCCAGCTCTCAAACCGCTCCGCGCCGCTCTCAAATCCTCGACACGATGTGCTTGGGCAAAGAGGAGGGCCAGTGCGTGCTCGAGTGGTGCGCGTCGTGCAACTTCGACACGACGCGGACGGCCCTGGTCCGCGAGATGTGCGACTGCATCGACGACCTCAAGTACGCGGACGACGAGGACGTCGACGAGATGATCGTCGAATGGAAACCGCTCGCGGCCCAGAGCTTCAAGAAGAAGCTGGCCCTGCTCAAGAGCGGCTTCTCCGGCGAGGGCGCGGCCGCGCTCAACCAGCCCGGCGCCTTCGCGTCGGGCTTCTCGGCCGCGGCCGCGGCCGCGCCGCCGTCGCCGCGCCAAGGCCGCGCCAAGGCCGCGGCCGCGCTGTCGTCGCCGCACGGCGGCCGCGCCGAGGCCGCGCCGTCGCGGCCCGCGCGCGCGCCGGCGCCGGCGCCCCCGGCGACGCAGGCGCCGAGCGACGCCGAGGCGTCCTCGGACGACGCCGCCTCCGAGGACGAGCGGCCCGCGCGCAAGCGCAAGGCCGCGGCGGCGAAGAAGAAGGCGCCGAAGAAGGCCCGGGCCGCGCCGAAGGCGAGGCGGGCGCCGGCGAAGAAGCCGGCCACGGGCGACCGGCGGCTGGCGACGCAGGTCTACTCCGAGGCGGAGCTCTGGGCCGCGCCGAAGCCCCAGCTCGGCGACCTCGGCGACGTCGTGCTCGCGCGGAGCGCGGAGACGGGCCGCTGCGCCAAGTGCGACGGCGTCCACGCGACGGCGGACTGCCCGCACTTCCCCAGGGACCGCGAGCTGGTGACGAGCGTGCCCATCTCGTCGAGCCGCTGCGCGGCCCTCGAGGGCGAGCCGTGGTCTCGGACGGCGACGTCGCGCGACGAGGCCGACGCGCCCGCGCCGCGGGCCTGCGACGCGTGGCGGTCCGCGGGGTCCACCGCGCGCGTCCAGGCGCTGCTCGACCGGGACGCGCGCATCGCCGTCGCCCAGCCGAACCCGAAGGCGCCGGGCACGCTATCGTTCGCGCGCTACGAGGCCTACGCCGCCGCGACGACGTGCTCCGAGTTCCTCGACCTCGGCGGCCGGCGCGACGACCTCAAGCACGACCTCGCCAAGGGCTTCGTCGTCGTCGTCGGGCCGGGCCACGGCCGGTCGCGCGTGTCCTCGGACGTCGCCGACGACACGGACGACGACGACGGCGTCATCGACCTCGGCCCGCCGGCGGAGGACAAGGCCCTCGACGCGGAGGTCGCGGGGCTCCTCGCCGGCGGCGACGGCGACGACGACGCGCTCCTGACCATCTCCCTCTGACGTTTAATCTCGGGTGGTGTTGCTCTTTTGGGGGGCGGCTCGGGCGGCGCGCACGTTGTTTTAGGCCTTGTTTTGAGCGATTTGACCTGCCGACTGAGGTCGAGACGAGAGACGATCGTACGAGCTCAAGCGAAGACGCCGCGTAGTCATGTCGTGGCGGGAGAAGAAGTTGGAGTATGAGAATCGCATGGCCCGAGCGAGGGGCAAAAAACTCGACACTCTCAAGACCTGCACGATCTGCGGCGCCGACAAGGCCAAGGCGTGCAAAGGTTGCGGCACGACGGCCTACTGTTCGACGGACTGCCAACGCATCGACTGGCGCGACCGGGGCCACCGAAAGGTCTGCAAGAAGATCCAGGCCGCTGAGGCGGCGCGGGCGGAAGCGCCGACGCCCCCGCCGTCGCCGCCGCGGGACGTGTTCTACGGACCCGCGCCGCGGTCGCACGCCGACGAGGTCCGCGCGAGCCTCCACGAGCGAGACGAGGCCGCTCGTGCCCTGCGCGAGGCGAACCCGGAGCCCGAGCCGGCGTCGGCGCGGTACGGGTCGCGGTGCCCGATCTGTCTCGAGGAGTGGGACGTGAATGCTCCGGGCTTGCTTCGCGTCTGCTGCTGCCGGAGGGTCTGCCGATCGTGCGAGGACAAGATCGGCACCGGCGCGTGTCCCCTCTGTCGTGTACCGTGCCCGAAGACTAATGCGGAAGTACTCGCGCAAAGTCGCCGCCATGTGGAGAACGAGGTGCCGGAAGCAATTATGCATTTGGGAAGTGCGTACCATCACGGGTTGTACGGCCTCGTGAAATCCGCTAAGAAAGCCGCGAAGATTTACCGGCGCGCCGTGGAGCTCGGGAACGTGGAGGCGATGAATAACCTTGGGAGATTGTACGAGACTGGAAGTGGCGTCAAGCTGGACAAGAAGAAGGCGGAGCGGCTGTATCGCACGGGCGCAGATCGGGGCGACGCGTTCGCGCAATGCAATTTAGGTCTGTTACTTGATGATGAGCAGAAACATGAAGAAGCGTTCCGGTACTACGCGCTCGCGGCGGATCAAGGCTATACCGATGCGGAGTTGAACCTTGGCTTCTGTTACAGGGACGGAGAAGGCGCGGAAGTCGACCTCGGCAAAGCCAGATACTGGTTCGAGCGCGCCGCTGCCAAGGGCAACCAGTCGGCTATAGAGTCCCTGGCGGACCTCGACGCGCAATTATAGCCTAACAATCTGAACGCCGCGTCGTCGCCCGAGCCCGAGACGAGCGACGAGGAGGGCCTTCAGGAGGCCTTTCATGCCGCCCGGCGACTACGACTTGACCGAGTGCGTCCGCGCCTGCGCGTCGTGCCCCTCCGAGGGCGCGTGCGTCGACGACGCGGCATGGTCGCACACCAACAAGAAGAACAAGAAGCTCGACTGCGTCAGCGTCGCGCGGAACCCCGGCCGCCGCTGCGACCTCGCGGGCGCCCGGGAGCGCTGCCGCGCCACCTGCGGCGCGTGCCAGGCGTAGAGCGAGGGGCGCGTGCGCGCGCATCCTAAAGAGCCCCAGGAGCACGCCGCGCGCATCCTAAAGCAAAATCCCCTTATACCCCCGACGCCATCAGCCCCGAGTCCTGGATGCAGCAGGGCGGCGGCGCCGCGCGGGGGACGCAGCGGCGCGCCGCGCGCGCCGCGTCGCCCGCCGCGGAGCCGAGCGTCGCCGTGGGGAAGCGGCGCGCGTGCTGGTAGAGGGCGATGCCCGCGACGCTCAGCAGGAAGCCGACGCCCTCGAGGCCCGTGACCTCGGAGTCGCGGAAGACGACCGCGGAGACGAAGACGACGGAGATGTTCCGGACGAGCGACGTGATGCGGAGCGTGAGCGCGGACGTCGCCGCGAGCATCATGTTCGTCGCGAAGTTGACGACCAGGCCCCCGAGGGACGCGGCGGCGAAGAGGAGCGGGTGCGCCGCGACCTTGGACGCCGCGTCGGCGACGTCCTCCGACGCCGCGGAGAAGGCGGCGAGCGCGACGACGGCCGCGGGGCCCATGACCGCGAGGCCCTCGACGGCGCCGAACTTGCGGTCCACGAGCAGGATCTGCATCATCAACAGCTTGACGGCCTCGAAGAACTCCGACGCGAACCTACAAAGCGTGCGTGGGCGCGCGCGAACCATGTTCGAGACGCCGGCGAACACATGATCGCGACGCCCAGGGGCGAGCAGTGGAGCTCGCCCTGGACGGCGACGACCGTGCCCGCGACGATGACGGCGATGGACGCGACGAGGATGGGCGTCGCGCGCTCGAGGCGCGAGCAGAAGAGGAGGCACAGCAGGACGACAGGCGCGAACGCCTTGAGGATTTGCACGAACGCGACGCTGTTGTGGAGGTAGGCCATGTTCCCGAAGACGAGCGTCCCCGCGAGGGCGAGGCCGATGGGCGCGACGCGCGCGGCGTAGAACTGCGCCGTCATCGCCGCGACCTGCTCGGAAGGCGCGAGGCCCAGCGCGAGCGCCGCGTTCGCGACGACGGCCGACGTGCCCACGCCGAGCAGCGAGAGGAAGGCGCCGTAGGGGAAGCCGACCTCGACCATGATGTGCTTGTTCAGGAAGATGAGCGACGGGCCGGCCACGAGGTAGAGGAGCGTGGCGCAGGCGGCGCGCAGCACCTTGAGCGCGCTCCGCGCCGCCTTCTCGCCGCGCTCGCCATCGACGTCCGCGGACGGGGGCTCGCCGGACGGCGCCTTGCGGTAGCCCTTCGCCGCCGGCGACTTCGGGATGGCACTCATCTAAGCACACATTGCTGCGGTGCTGCCCCAATTACAGTGCTGCACTCACGGCTTGTTGACGAACAAGGCTGCCCCGCGTCTCCCGGCGGCGCTAGCTGTGCCGGTTGGCCGCCATGGCTCCTCCGCCGGCGCTCTTCCGGGCGCTCTACGACTTCGCCGCGACGGACGCCGACGAGCTGTCCCTGCGCGCCGGCGACGTCGTGCGCGTGTCGTCGCAGCAGGACGACGGCTGGTGGTACGGCATCGTCGCCGGCGACGGCGAGCCGCGCGGGGGCCTCTTCCCGGGCACCTACGTGGCCGCCGTCGCCGACGCGGCGCCGGAGGCGACGCCGGCGGCGGCGACGCCGGCGGCGGCCGCGCCGGCGCCGCCGGCGCCGGAGGACGACGGCGGCCTCGAGGCCGCGCGCCGCGCGTCGTCGGACGCGCTCGCGGCGTTCGCCGCGGCCGCGGTCGACGTCGAGGGCGCGGGCGGGGCCGCCGCCGCCGGCGAGGCGGCGCCCGTGGCGCCGGAGCCGGCGGCGCCGCGCGACGAGACGCTCGAGCTCATCCTCGAGCTCGAGCGCCGCGCCGCGGCGGCGGAGGCGAGCCTCGCGGAGGAGCGCGCGGCGGCCGCGGCTTTCCGCGAGGCCACGACGGCGTCGCTGGCGATTTTGGAGTCGACGCTGACGCGGGCGCTGGCGCCCCTCGGCGGCGTCGTGCTCCTCGCCCCCGGCGACGCCGGCGACGCCTTCTTCGGCGACGGCGCGGCCGGTGGCTCCGGCGCGGGCGCGCGGCTCGCCTCGGGCCTCACGGCGCGGCTCCGGCCCGGCCCCCTCGGCCGGCGGAGCGTCGCCTGGGCCGACTTCTGGACGTCGCGCGCGAGGCGCTCGAGGCCGCGCGGCCCGCGGCGCCGCCGCCGCCGCCGCGGCCCGCGGCGGCCGCGGCGGCGGACGACGACGCGCCGCGCGTCGCGACGCTCCTCGCGCGCTTCGCCCCGCCGCTGCGCCAGCTCTTCAAGGAGTACGCGTCGCAGCGGCCGCGCTGGAGCACGCCGAGCGCCGACGGCCGCGGCCCGCGGCCGCCGAGCGGCCAGCTGCTCCTGTCGCCGACGGATTTCCTGCGGCTCTGCCGCGAGACGCGGGTCTGCCCGGGGCTCCTGAGCCGCCAGGAGGTGACCTCCGTCTGCCGCGCGGCGCTCGCCGACGCCCAGGGCGCGCCGGGGCTCACGGAGCAGCGCACGACCGCCGCGCTCGAAAACGTCGCGGCGGCCGCCTACGGCGCGCGGCTGCCCGCGATGTCGCGCGGCGACGCGCTCGAGGCGCTCTTCATCCACATGGGCCTCGCGGAGCGGCTGATCCAGCAGGCGCGCAACGCGCCGCCGTCGCGCGACTCCGGCGCGCGGCCCGCGCCGCCGCGGCCGGTCGAGGCCGAGTCGCCGCCGCCGGCGTCGCGGACGCGCGCGCGCGAGCCCGCGCCCTTCGCGCGGCCGCCGGCCTTCACGCCGACGACGTCGGGCGTCCTCAAGCCGCTGAGCAAGGGGCCGTCGCCCGTCGTCGCGCTGGGCCGCGAGTCGCCCGCGGGCTGGGACCCGACGGGGACGCTCTTCGCGAACCCCTACGCGACGCCCTTCGCGACGCCGGGCGCGGGGCCCAAGAAGCCCCTCCCCGATAACCCCTAGAACACGGCCGACGACCGGCGAGATGCCCCGCCCCGATAGTCCCTAGAACACGGCGGACGACCGGCGGCGCCGCGCGCCCTTGGCGAACAGCGCGGGCGCCGCGCGCTCCTTCGGCGGGCCGCCGAGGAGCGCCACGGCGGACTGGCGCCGCTTCGCCCGCGTGCGCGCGTCGCGGTGCTCCCGCTTGACGTCGTCGCGCATGGCCCGCAGCGCGCCGCCCGGCCGCGTGAGCATCAAAAACGGCGGGAACCGCTCCGCGCGGTACTCCGGCTTGACCATCAGCAGGCAGTTGTCGATGTAGTCGACGTCGACCGTGTCGTTGAGCAGGCTCCGCACGTCCTCCTTGTCCACGGTGTGCATGTTGTTGAGGAAGGCGTAGTAGGACGCGTAGGCCGCGTCCTGGTGCGCCGTCCGCTGGGCCACGAGGAGCCGTTCGACGTAGGCGCGCCGGTCCGCGCGGCGCCAGGGCGCGTAGTCGTAGGCGTCCTTCTCCGGCACGGCGTCGCCGCCGAGGTGCTTGTTCACGTGGAGCAGCGCGAGGCAGCGGTGGGTCCCCTCGGGCGACGCGCGGCCCGACGACCCCGACTCGCGCGACGCGCGGCCGTCCTCGTCGTGCTCCGCGCCGCACTTCTTCGCCGTGTCGCGGTTCGCGCGGCGGCGCAGGCGCTTCGCCGTGACGCCGTTGCCGTTGAGGCTCAGGAGCTTCGCGAGCTTCGTGTTCGCGGCTTCCAGCGCGACGGCCCGCTCCGAGAACGCGGGGTCCTTGGCCATGTGGCGCATGGCCACGGACTGGCGGTGCTTGCGCATGAGGCCGAGCTCGTCGCGGTACCGTCGCTCCTCGCGGAGAAAGGCCCGCTCGAGGACGGCGACGCGCGCGTGGCGGCCTGGGCGGGAAACGGGTGCGACATGCCCAACTTCAAAGGCTCCTCTCTCGGCCGTTTTCCACTCGTTTCGGCTGATTTTTGGACGAGCGATCATCTCTCGGAGCGCTCTCGAAGCGTGGGTGCTGTTTCCGAAACGCGCGCGCGCGAAACACTCACGTTGAAGCGACGTTGAATCACCCTGTTCCTGCCCTGGTGGCGGCTCGCGATCCAGTTCCGCGCGACGCGCTGGAAGCACCGCACGGCCTGCTGCATGCGGCGGATGGCGTACTTGCCCGACACCGCCGCGCCGCGCAGGAACTCGGCGACGACGTCGGCGGAGACGGCGCGCTTCGCGAGCTTGTAGCGGTGGTGGATCCGCGTGATGTAGCGCCGCATCGTGCCCTCGAACCACTGGAGGCGCTGCGCGCCGAGCTCCCGCGCGAAGCGCCGGTAGCGCTCGGCGATCCACCAGCGCTTGATCTTCGTCGCCGCCTCCGTGAAGACGAGGTGCTGCGTCTTCCGCCGGTGGCGGTGCGCGACGGAGTGGCGCCGCGCCTGCTCGCCGAACGACGACCGCCGCCGCAGGAGCGGCGGCGGCGAGCCGTCCGTCGACGAGAAGGACGCGCGGGACCGGCGCCGCTGCAGGGGCGTGTCCCGCTGGGGCTGCTCCGGCGCCAGGCTGCCCCGGCGGTTCCGCGCGGCGTCCGCGAGCGCGTCGCGCGGCGGCTCGGCCGCGTCGCTGGAGTCGTCGTCGTCGTCGCTCCAGAAGGGGTCGAGCGCCAGTTTGCGGTCCGCCTCCATCTCGTTGCCGGCGACGCGGCACCGCGCGCCGAGCGCGGCGAGCCGCAGCCACGCGGCCGCGACGGGCGCCTCCGCGCGGCGCCGGTCGCGGCGCGCGTCGCGGCGCGCCGCGTCCTCGCGCTTCGCGGCCGCCGCGGCGTCCAGGTCGTCGCGCCGGTCCTTGGCCGCGCGGAGCCGCACGGAGTGGCGCTCCCGCGCGGCGAGCGCCGCGTCGAGCTTCGGCGGCGACTGGCGGCCCGACGGCGACGGGCAGCCCCGCGACGCCCAGAGCCCGACCTGGACGCGGCTCGGCTGGTCCCGGAGCCGCCGCAGGGTCTCCGCGGCGACGCTGCCGTCGTCGCCCCCGTCGATGTGCACGAAGCACGTGCCGTCCTGGAACGCGGCGTCCGCCTGGGCCGCGAAAGGGTGCGACATTCCCAACTTCAAAGGCTTCTATCTCGGCCGTTTTTCACTCGTTTCGGCTCATTTTTGGACGAGCGATCATCCCTCGGAGCGCTCTCGAAGCGGGGACCCTTTCTCCGGAACAATCGCGCGCGGCATACTCATGTTGAAGCGACCTTGAATCACCCGTTTCCTGCCCCGGCGTCCGCCGGTTTCACGAGCAGGCTCACGGACGTCGGCCGCCGCTGCAGCGTCGCGAGCCGCTCCCGGGCCTGCTGCGTGCGCCGCGCGGCCGCGGACTGGGGCCGCAGCGTCCGGCGCGCCGCGGGCTCGGCGAAGAACTCGTCGGTCACGGGCGCCTTGAGCTGGAAAAGCGCGTCGAGGACCCCGAGCGGCTCCGCGGCGACGGCCTCCGCGCCCCAGCCGCCCTTGCCGTAGCGGCCGCCGCGCGAGAAGGTGCCGAAGGTCCGCGCCGTGCCGACGCCCCGCTCCTCGCCGAGCTGGCGCGCCGCCGCGAGCGCGCCCGAGTCCTCGACGACGGACTTGCGCCGCGTGCCGATCTTGGCCGCGGCGCGCAGCGCGCCGGACGGGTCGTCGACGCCCGTGACCACGGACTGGCGCCGGCCCTCGCCCTCCGACGCGCCGGGGACGCCGATGCTGCCGCGCCGCGCGTGGCCCGCCGTCGGCGCGCCGGCGAGGCCCACGGACCCGCGCCGGGCGCGGCCGGGCGCGGCGCCGCCGGCGAGGCCCACGGACCCGCGCCGCGCGCGGCCGTCGACGTGCTTGCTGCCCGCATCGTGGAGCGCGGGTGCGCTGGCGGACGCGCGCATGCTTTGGGGTTCAGCTCGTGAGAACTGGGGCTGCCATCATAGCGCAGCCCAACCGCGCTTCCGGCTGATGCTGCGGTTTCAGGTCAATGAATCGCCGAAGCCGCCTAGGCCGGCAGTCTGAGCCGCCGCCCGCTCCGCGCCTCGCGCCTTCGTGCTCGTCCGCGCTGCCGGCTCCGCGCCTCGCGCCTTCGTGCTCGTCCGCTGCCTAGCGCACCACACCAGTCTGGAGCCGCTGCCCGCTCCGCGCCTCGCGCCTTCGTGCTCGTCCGCTGCCTAGCGCACCACACCATGGGCAAGGCCAAGGCCGCGCCGGCGGCCTCGACCGACGGCACGGCGAAGCTCGCGGGCACGGCCTACCACGCGGCGTCGCGGAGCGTCGCGGCGCGCGAGCAGGCGCTGCAGGCCGCCGGCCGGCTCTGCGACAACGGCGAGAAATGGGCGAAGCGCATCGGCGCACGGCAGTCGCCCTACGAGTTCATCGAACTCTGGTGGTCGCTGCCCGCGGCGACGCGCGCGTGCCCGCCGCCGCAGTCGAACGGCGAGAAGTGCCGGCGGTGCAAGAAGGTCGTGCGGCTCGCGCGGCGGCAATTCATCAAGCGCGACGAGGGGTCGCGCCTCGGCCGCGAGGTGCGCGTCGTCAAGTGCGACGGCGGCTGCATGGGACAAGGGGTGTCAGTCATCGTCAACAAGTGGGCCGACTACGGCTACGAGGCCGAGGAGGAGGAGGAGGACGACGACGGCGGGGCGCCGCGGCGCTGCGCCGTCGCCGCGAAGCCCGAGGCGGCGGCCGCGCCGCGCGCCGTCGTCGCGCCCTCGGACGTCGCGCTCGACGCGTGCTCGCTCCGCGTGAAGGACGACGACGACGCGGAGGCGAAGCCCGACGCGGCGCGGCGCAGGGCGAAGCCGAAGAAGGGCGCGCGGAAGCTGTTGGACCTCGGCGCGCCGGCGCCGGCGCGGGCCTACGACGACGACGCCTGGGACAAGCCGGCGCCGCGCGCGCCGGCGCCGGCGCCGCGCGAGGCGCCGCCGCCGCAGCAGCCGCCGTCGATGGACGCGTTCCCGAGCCTCGGCGGCGGCTCGCCGCGGACCGTCGACGCGCCGCCGCCCGAGCCGCCCGCGTGGGAGCCGGCCTACGCGGCCGAGGAGCCGTGGGACCCGGCCTACGCGGCCGAGGAGCCGGCCTACGCGGCCGAGGAGCCATGGGAGCCGGCCTACGCGCCCGAGGAGCCGGCCTACGCGGCCGAAGCGCCGTGGGAGCCGGCCTACGCGCCCGTGGAGCCGGCCTACGCGGCCGAAGCGCCGTGGTCGGACCCGTGGGCGCCGGAGCCGCAGAACTGTTCGCCGCGGCACTTTTCGCCGGAACCGGAGGTCCCCGCGCCGGAGGTCCGCGCGGTCCGCGCCCCGGCGCGCGCGTCGGCGCGCGAGCTCAAGGCCCTGCCGCCCGGGCTGCGAGCCGTCGCCGCGAAGCTCGCGCTCACGTCCGAAACGGTCGAGGCGCTCTCGAGGCTCTCGAACAAGAAAGATCAAGGTCGCGCTGCGAAGCGCCTCAGCGACCCTGGCTTTACATACACAGTTATGCTCGATGCGGAGCCCAATTCGTTTATCCTCTCAGAGCTCAAGAAGATCGGGCACCTAGGGTCGACGTCGAAGTGCCGGCTCGTGTGCAGCGAGAAGTTCCTCGCGGAAGCCCAGGCGAGCGCGCCCGCGCGCCAGGAGCACAAGCGCGCCGCGACGAGCAAGCCGAGGCCGACGCCGCCGCGGGCACCGCCGCCGCCGCGGGCACCGCCGCCGCCGCGGGCACCGCCGCCGCCGCGGGCCGCGCCGCCGCCGCCGCGGGCCGCGCCGCCGCCGCCGCCGCCCGTCGCGTCGCCGTTCGAGCAGCTCGCGACGTTCCTCGAGGCGTTCGGCCTGCAGCGCCACGTGCGCCGCTTCGCGGAGGAGGAGATCCTGAGCCTCCGGGACCTGCCCCACCTGACGCTCGACGACCTCGTCGACATGGGCCTCTCCTTCGCGGAGGCGGACACGCTCGTGTCCGCGGCGCGGGAAATGTTGTAAGGCTCTGGGGCCGTTTCCCTTCCGGGCAAGCGGCTCATAGATCTCCCCCATGCTCGAGTTCGCCAGCCTCGACCGCGCGGCGTTGGCCGACGTCGTCGACGAGACGCAGCTCTCGCTCGAGCTCTACTTCCACGCGCGCGAGCTCAACCGCGCGCAGCACGCCGAGCTCGGCCTCCCGCCGCCCGACACGGCCCTGCTCCCGCCCGGCGACGCGCGCCCGGAGCGGCGAAGGCTCGGCGATATTCGGTGCCGTACTCGCGGTGTGGTTTTGGCAAGAATTGGGTCCATCTGTCTCCGCCGCGCCATCGGATTGAACCGCTCTTAGCCCGCAGATTTCGCGCGCGCGCCGGCGCCCCTTTCTCACTTGAAACCGCCCCGCGGGCCACCGGGGCGCGGGCGCCGCCCCCCGAACAAACTGGGCGACGGGGGACGCCGTAGATGTCGAGCCTCGACAAAACGGTTCATCGTCGCGCCCCCCCGGCTTCCCGGGGGCGTCGCCCACCGGGGCGCGGTCGTCGTCGCCCCCGGGGGGGCGGCGGGGGGCACTTCGCCACAACGGCGGCCCGGGGGACTCGCGGCTCCGCGCATCGCGGAACCGAATTCGACGACGGGCCTCGAAATACGCGCTCGCCCGGGCTTCTCGCGACACCCCCCGACGGGCCTCGAAATACGCGCTCGCCCGGGCTTCTCGCGACACCCCTCGACGGGCCTCGAAATACGCGCTCGCCCGGGCTTCTCGCGACACCCCCCCCCCCGCGTTCGCACAGGCCACCAAGATCGCCAACATGAACGCCTCGATGCTCGTGCGCCTCCTCTTCGCCGCACTCTGCGCCGCGCCGGCTCGGGCGATCTGCCGCGAGCCGCACCCGCTCCTGCCGACGTACTGGTCCGCGGACGAGCCGAAGCTCGCCGTCGTCGGCATCTACTTCAAGGACCTCCCCGCGTCGCACGTCCCGACGCCGGCCGAGTTCGCGGCCATGGTCCACGGGCCCGCGGTCGTCGCCGCGCTGGACCGCATGTCCGACGGGTGCCTGAACGCGACGACGTTCGCGCCCGACTTCTACGTCGTCAAGAACGAGGGCGCGACGCACCCGCTCGAGGAGGGCGGCCGCGTGTCCTGCGGCCAGGCCGACGACTTCTTCGAAACGTCGAGCGTCCGGAACCTGGGCTTCGACTTCGACGACTACGACGGCGTCCTCTTCTCGCCCATCGGCCACTGCAGCGCGGACGGCAGCGGCGCCGGCTGGTACAAGTACGTGGGCAGCGTCGACGGCCGCACCGTCTACAACGTGCAGGGCATCTTCATGTCCACGGACCTGCGGCCGTGGTGCGCGCTCGGCGACGCGGCGTGCGACTTCGCCGCGGCGGCGCCGTACACCCGGGACCGGACCTACGTGCACGAGCTCATCCACTGGTTCGGCTTCGCAGCCCACTCCTCGATGACCGACTGCGCCGACCCGGACGCGGACGGCCTCGACCCGCTGCTGTGCCCGACGATCGGGTACGGCGACCCCTTCAGCGTCATGGGCCCGAGCGGCGGCGTCGCGAACCTCCCCGCCTACATCAAGTACCACCTCGGCTGGCTCGGCGCGGACGACGTCGAGGTCGTGCGGACGCGCGGCGAGTTCCAGCTCGCGGCCGTCGACGCGCCGCGCGGCGGCGCCGCGAAGCGCTTCGCGTACCTCCCGGAGTCGGACCTCTACGTGCACTGGCGGAACGCGACGGAGCTGCCGGACCCCGCGGGCCCGGAGCCCGAGGACGACTACGCGGGCTTCTTCGTCCACCGCTGGTCGACGCTCGTCGACGCGCACGTGACGTCGTGCGCCGCGGGCGACGACGAAGCCGCGCGCGCGGAGCGCGCGGCGCACGTGACGCTCAAGCCGGGGTCGACGTTCAAGGCGCGGACCCAGGGCGTCGTCCTCCGCGCGGGCGCGGCGGGCGGCGCGACGCGCGGCCTCGAGGTCCACCTCACGGGCGAGCCGCCGCTCTGCCTCCGCGACCTGCCCCGCATGAGCGCCTACACGAACTGCGACTGCGGCGCGACTACAAGTGCGGCAACACGGGCAACTACTGCGGCGAGGGCGGCGAGGCGTTCCGGCCCTTCCGGTCGAACTTCGACGGCTCCGACCGCGTCCCGGACTTCCCCGGCGGCGTGACGCTCCACTCGGTCGAGGTCAAGAACGCGGACCTCGGGGGCTGCGGCGACCGCGCGGCGCCGTTCGACCTGGCCGTCGCGCGCACGGAGCTGCCGGAGGGCTACGGCTTCGACCCGCAGAAGTACCATATGGAGCTCCGGCCCCGGGGCTTCTCCGGCAACGCGCGGAGCATGGCCTTCGCGTTCGGGCTCCCCGCGAACATGAGCGACTACGACTCGTGCCTCACGGCGACGAACCACGACACGGGCCTCCGCGCGGCCCAGATCCACCGCATCACGCTGCCCTACGACGGCCGGGAGGTGTGGTATCGGAACAACCGGCCGGCGGACTACGCCGGCGTCGACCCGGACCTCGCGGCGTACTGCGCGTCGCTCAACGGCTGCGGCCGCGCGGGCGGCGACTGCCCCGCGGCCGGCGCCGGCGGCGGCCACTGCGACCTCGACAAGGCCTGCGACGGCGCCGACGCGCCGTTCGGCCCCGACGGCCGCTG